CGGGCACCAAGGTTCCCTCAGCGTCTTCTGAAAACACAACGACTAACCAGTGAGTTTAGTTTGAAGTTGTTCGCTATAGTATTAAACTTCTTCTTATCCTATTCAGTTTCTCTTATCTTTTTTATTGTTTAAAGAGCGTTTCTTCACATAAACAGTAGGGCAATACAGCATTTATAGATACTTAATTTACACAGAGAATCTACAGCCATACTGAATAAATTATAACAGAGTTCATGACAACTAAAAAATGTTTTGCAACAGGAAATTTTATTGCCTTTCTTTTTATTATCATGCTGTAAAAAACAATTATTATGGCCACTGTGGGTCAGTCTGATTAAAAATAGAATGAAAAAGCAGTCAAAGTCTGATAAAGCCCAGAGAACTGTTGATCGTGACCACTGTAAAGAAACTACATATAGCGTCTCTCTGGAAAAAACTAGACCAGAATAAGTGCCCTAATAGCAACTGGTCTGGCTCAGCCACCTGTTGGGCCAATCAGCTCCTTCAACTCAGTGGCCGTGATGTGTGTCAGCTGGCTGCGGGCTCCACTGAGCTAAACTAAACTCTAATAGCCTTTAGAGAAACTTAATCAACGCTTAGCTGCGAGGTCAAAGTTCTAAAGCAAATCCAAATACAATGAGGCACCATCAGCCGCCGCTGTTGTAGTAGAACTTCACCATTCTGCTGCCTGCTCCACTTCCCCAGGGAAATCTGCTGAAATGCTTCACATTTTACGCCACTAAGCACCCAAGTATGTCGACTTGTGTGAGAACTGCGATCATAGGCCAAAAATGCTGGACGTGATGTCATTGAAGAAGGAGTGTAAGCAAACAGGGTGGTGTTTTTAAAGCTGCGAGCGGAGACTGCGATGTGTAACCTTCAGCGCATGACATGCAAGCAAATAAATGCCTGCGTTTTCCTTTTTTTTCCGGGTTCTCCACAGCCGGTGGACATCCCGTGCAGCACACTGAAGGAGCCTTCCACCTCCTCACACACACATGCATACCAACACGCTGGTTGTAAGTCTTTCACAACTCATTCCTTCACACACTCATGTACATCAAATACTCATTCTACACACATACTCACTCCTCCTCCCTTACAGCCAAAACTGAAAAAGACCGGACACACACACACACACACGAAAACCTTCTCCCCAGTTAGGGGCTGAGGGCACACTGGGGGAAGTCAAGCAGTAACGCAGCCCACTTGCCTGTAGCTAGGAAACGCAGGGTAGCCAGCAGAAGCTGAGGTGATATTTTAACCTTCATTTCATTGTCAGTGGGCTTGAAGGCAGAGAAATCCTGCTTCCTTTCCCGATGGGTGATTTTCTTCTTTGTCTTGTTGTCGGCTGAGGAGAGAAGATGAAAATACAACCTTAAACTGTTTCTCCATTGGTAGGATGTCACTTTGAGATGGTACACAGACACCGAGCTGGTTGGCCCGGGTCACAGGGTGCCTAAACTGGAGTTACCCAAAGATCTTTGGCTTTTCTGGAACTGCAGCCGTGGCTGATTTCTCAGAACAGGGAAACTTTAGCAGGCTACATTGTTATGACATTCTTACCACATTCCTATCATTACAAAATGCCGTTATGTATTAGGGTTTTAATGTGACACGAAAAAAGGTTGATGTGTTGATAGAAATGTGTTTTTCTAATTCATATATTAAATTAAGTTTATTTTTTAAAGACATACCACAAGTAAATAAAAAGGTTTTATCAAAGAACTCCAACCATAACACCTCCTATGACATTTATCTTAACGCACAACTTCTCTAAGAATTTACACATCAAAAATACATTACTATTTGAACTACTTTTTAAAACCCAAATCCCTTACAAACTGAACAACACTGATCTGTAAATTTTTTTTACACTGACTTTTGGCTTAGCTTTGAAATATTTGATGCAACAAAAGGCATTTTTAAGCCACAAACTCTCATGGAAATAAAAAAATTCTATCTTGTTTGTGTGTGGACGAGTCATACCTTCATAAATTACCATAAGTTATTATTTTGAGGTAATTTATATATTTTTTTTCCTTGTAAGCAGATCTAGTGATTATTTCTTTATGTAGATGAATAATTTTGTGAATAATGGAGAGGATTCCATTACTAAACTGGCAGTTCTCTGATCATGTGATACCACTTCCTGTTGCTGCACTATTTACCTCTAGTATATCTAATTCTATTTATTATATTTTTACATGTTATGTAACTGATATATAGTAGCTGCCTTTTAGTGAATTTACATCTTAAATCTGATACTAATGCTTATTAATGTTCACCTCACTTGAAATTATGCTAAATTAAATCTAATTAGACCAGTTCAATAAATAAATAATAACTTTAGTTGATTACAAATTTAGTATAAAAAGCTAAATGGCTGTAATTTATAAGGAAAATGCATGTCCGTTTAGCAGCAGAGTTCTGTTCTGCAAGAGGGTTGCTTTTTTGAAACTTGCCAAATCCTCCTTGCTGAGTCCAAGCAGCTTAATCTGCAACTGACTCTGTTATTTGAGTTGGAGGATTGAAGAAATAAGACATACTGGCAGTAACCTATTTGATAAGCAGTCAGAAAGTTTGATAGTGCATGAGAGTTGGTGAAAAGCATGGTCCTCCTTATGATGGTCACCATGCTGCAAGATTGTGGTGGTCACTATGGCACCAACAGCACACCCAGGCTAATCCCACAGTTCTGACTTAATTCCTAAAATTCTGGATTCAATCTCATCATTCGAAACTTTGTTTTTAGAACTCCGACTTTAATGCAGTAAGATGCCTTAAACAACTGGGAGCAGCCAAGTTTAGTGGTAGTGATATGAGTGCGGGATGTGGGGGGATACGTCTTTGGTCATATCTGAGTGATTTGAAAAGGTCACTGAAGATTTTAGTTTATTAACAGAAGTCAAAATTCTGAAATTAGTTATAGTTTCAAATCAGAATTCTGGGAAAAAAAGGAAAAAACAAAATTCTTAGATCAAACTCAGAGTTCTGAGAAAAAGATAAGAATGTTGATATTCAATTCAAATGAGAAAATCTATTAATTAGATTAATGTCATAATAGTGAAAACTTTCAGAATGCTGAGATAAAGTTCAGAAGTAAAGGTAAAAATTCTGTGTTTAAATTTAGAATTCTGATAATATATTCAGAATTTGAAGATTAAAGACAGGATTATTAGGGAAAAAAAGACAATTCATTGTCAGAATTCTCAGCTTAAATTTAAACCTCTGAGAATAAAGTTTAAATTGTGAACTTAAAATCAAAATTTTGAGAAAAAAAAAAAACAGAATTCTGAATTCGACATAAGAATTTCTGAAACGGAAAAGTGAGGAATCAGTTTAATCAGAATTCTGATATTTAAGTCAGAATTCTCAATATACTATGAGAATTATTGCAATTAAACTGGGAATTATATGCAAAATGCCAGCTTTTCAGATTAACTTCAGAAGTCTGAGTTTGCACATCTAATATTAGTGCAGAATTAAATGCTAGACATCTTTTTTCCAAAGTTTACTATGCATCTAATTTAGACTTAGATACAGTAGGACAGCTAAATGGACTTGAAATAAATAGATTCATATATATATATATATATATATATATATATATATATATGTATTGAGTATATAAATGTTGTATGGAGTAAAAAGGGAATAGAAAATGTTTCTATTTAATGAAGTTACACTTACATATACATTTGCTGGTGGTATATAACTGTTTTTGTTTACCTTCAGCCATTAAGAAATCCAGAATAAACCCACTGGTATGATTTAACACAACATTTTTGTATTAACCCACTATTACTGGCTATAATTATTGTTGTGTTTGTTTTTCCATTCCCATAAAATTAAGCCCCAGCAATGATTTCTGTGATTTTTCCAAATTTTTATTAAATGTCACTCATGATTTTTTGTAAATTGGATGAATCATGAGTGGGGATGGGGCAGTGCCATAAGACTTTATCAGAGTACACGCCACAGAGCATCTAAAGGAGGCACTACAAAGAAGTGGAGGACCCAAACTATCTCAGGACTAATCAGCTACCTTACTGTGTAATGTCATATATCATTTGTTGTTTTTCAGTGTTGGACAGGCCTGTTTATTTTTCGGTATATATGATTTGAACTCCTCATGCAAGGTCTGCAATATATTTCTTTATGTTTTTTGTTTCACATACAGTACAGTGCTAAACTACTTGTTTTGTTAATCCAATTTTAACGATAAAAAAAAAAAAAAAGTGATTTGTAAATCACATGTTTTACAGGGTGGCAGATAAAGGTCCAAGCACACATGTCAAACAGATATTTAGCTTGGGCTCAGCAGCAGGTTTAAACTAGAAAGAAATCACATTGTTTATCTGCATCTGGGACAATCAAATGAAGCAATTGCAAATATCTGTGCTCCTGTCCTGCTCCCATATTAGTTAGGGATGGTGTGTTTGAGGTAATGTGCAGGACTACTATTTAACCTCTGTTTGTGCTTTGCATTTTAACCAAAATGTTCCATATGTTTTAAATGTCCATTTTCCATACTCTTCCACCTGGATGTCTGCAGCTCCTCCAGAGTTACCATGGGCCTCTTAGCTGCTTCTGTGGTTGTTTCTCTCCTTTCTGACCTGTCGGTTTGTATTTCTGGATGTTTTTGCAGGTTACAGTGCAATCTTTGTGATGTTTGAGGCCTGGGATATTATTTTAAAAACTTCACAGCATCTGCCTTCCTGACCCACCTGCTTTTGTATCTTTATATTCATTATGCTTTTTTTCACTAAAAAATGTTTTTGTTTTTTTAACAATCCTCTATCCCTTCAAAAAAAAAAAAAACGGCGTAATTTATATTGAGTTTAAATGACACAAAAATAAACTCTATTTACTATTAAGTTGACTCCTAAAAGGCTACGGTATCAATATATTTATAATTAAGCTTATCAGAGTAAATGTATAGTGGCCAACAAGTGCAAATGTGCTGCAAAAATATCCATGATTCAGACCCCACACTAAACTAACACAAAAAAATACTGCATTAGAAAACAGTGCAGAGCAAACATGCTATAATAACAGAAAATAAAAGAAAAACAAATGTAACTGGTAAAACTAATACAGAAATCACAGTAAACAGGAAGAAACAAAATGTTAACTTTTGTAAACACCAGCTACAAAAACAAATGATATAAAAGCTGGTAACTCACTACACATAGCAGAAGTGCACCAGACCACTAGAAGGAGTCCACTACCAATAAAGATGGACCTGCAGCCCATTTACTGAATAATATTTAATAATATTGAAAAAAGTACGACCATAACTTCAGAAAAAATGTTTTTCTCAAATTTTCTCTGAAGATTAAGTTAATCTGTTCAATACGGCTCTTAGGCCCTGTCACTCCGCAATCCGTACTGGAAGCACGATCCGTACCATCATCTAATTTGCACATTCGCAAGCAGATAATACAACCAGGTCGCCATAAATAACGTAATTATGGTACTTAAAGTATTTATTCCTAATGCTAATACGCATCCTAAATGATGACAATTTGATGCTTTTTAATTTTTCTCTTTTTTGTTAAACAGCTTGTCTACTCTGTTCAGAGTAGTAATTAAACCATGTTCATCTGCATTTTAGTTGCTTCTTTATTTAGGTTGAGCACTATATACCATAAGGTTAACACTAAAGAAAAAAATAAAACTCAGAAAGACTAGATTTATGTTTAAATGCAAAGCCAAAAAAGTTAGCTGCTGGAAGGAGCATAGGATCCCATTTCAAGTGCAGACCAATGCACAGACCACTGATAAAAGAGAATTTGAATGCATTAATTTCCTCAGGAAATACATTATCAACCTTTGACATATTATAGTTTAGTACGCTTACTATTTTTAGGAAGGGAAAAACGTAATTTAGGTGTTTTATTACAGAGTGAAATTGAGGGCCACCCAGAGTGTATATCTGGTTGCGCATGTGCAAATGGCTGATGGTATAGATTGTGCTACCAGTACAGATCGGATAGTGACAGTCTCATCTCATTTTATGGTCAACCCCCCAATGGTCTGAGGCTCTTCCTTTTTGTGCAGCAAGCCTGCAGATTTTTCAACTGGTTTTTGGTATTTGTAGCATTTTATTTATTTATTTATTTATTGCTCCTCTCTATTGTCTGTGTTTGCAAAGGTTTTTTTCCAGGTACGGTAAATTTTCTTTTCCTTTTTTTGGGTGGCTGTCATTAGCTGCACTCACTCTACATTTAAAAAACTAAGCAACATTGTTATTGCAGTATACAGTTATTTGCTATGTTATATTATCACAGAAATCCTCAAAAGAAACACCGGTTGTAACAACATTACCAAATGGGTTTGAACCCCATTTTATATGCATGATCTGTCAAAAAGAAATCATCTGATTTGATACATCTCTACATTCAAACAATGAACTCATTATACGCTTAAGGGAGACCTACTGTACAAGTCAGTCTCATCCAGGATCTCTGACTTGATTATTTCTTCAATAACGTCCTCCAAGGTGACAATTCCCAGAACCTCATAGAAGGGGTCTCCCTCGCCTTCATTGTTCACCCTTTGAACTATGGCCAGGTGGGATTTTCCTAGCAAAATATACACACACAGGTTTTAAAGTTAGGGTTATATAGTGATAAAACATAAATATAGTTCAAGAATTACAGGGATACAAACCAGTTGACACAAACCTAAAATAATATATGTGCTTCTCAAACAAATTAAAAGGTATGCAAGTAGTTGCAGGAGTTGCTCTGTTAGCTATCAAAGGGTTAATAGGACAGGTCAGAAAGCCCTACATTTTGTCATATCATCCCATTTAGATGTCTTTGCCTCCACATCTGTTTCCCAGGACCCTCCTGTTTGCTGTACCCTCTGAAATACAAACTGCAGTGTATCCAGAAAATACTGACAGGCAAAACACAAAACAAATTCTTAGCTTTTTCTCAGCTTGTGATCATTTAAAAGGAATTTTCCAGAGGCCCAGGCTAATATTAGCCCCCTGCAAAATGAAGTTTCCATTCCGCCCTGGTGATATTCTCACTGAGATCCAGGAGCAAATTGGGGCAAAAAAAAAAAAAAAAAAAACTCCGTGTGCAGACTCTAGTAGAATGATTAGTTTAAATCCACCTGGATGCATAGCAAAAGACAGAGTCTGTTTTTTAATATGTGGATAACCAGGCTACATAAAGGTGGTTCTGGTGCTGTTTCAGCAAGAGCACCGGCCGCCGTGGTGCAGAAAGGCCTAGAGAGAAAGACCTGATGCTGATTAATGACTGTTTTATTGCACTGCAAACCACTACAGCACAGCAAGCACAGGACATCCAAGTGGCTTCCACCGAGTCTGAATGTGAGGCACAAGAATAGTTTTTCTTTACTGAGATGTTTTCAGATTATCACAGATTTATTTCCCAAAGAGGGTGATTAATAATGTAACTACTGAGTGTCTGCTAAGAGAAAGAAGCAATGCATCCTTAAAAGGAGTGTCGGGTTTAGCCATGATAAGAAAGTAGAGCTTTAGGGGATAAAGTGATCTGTCCTTAGAAGTCATCATCTAAGTCATTAGCCTAAATATGCTCAGAGGGAGAGCTCAGATCTGGTCAGCAGAGCAAAACAGATCAATGTGTGAATGTCCAGTCCCATCAGCTCATCTAAAAGAGTTACATTTAGTAAATTAGAATATCATTGATTATTTATGAGAAGAACAGTGGCATATGAGGCAGGGGTTGATCCTGAAGCCAGAGGATCAGAGGTTTGAACCTCTACTCTGTCACCTGCCTCACATGGCCTACTGATGGTGGTCAGAGGGCACAGGGTCGTCTTTTACGGCAGCTTTGTTTCTGTCAGCGGGCCCCAGGGCAGCTGTGGCTACAGTGTAGCTCACCACCATCAGTCAGTGAAGGACTGACTGTAGTGTTCAACACTTTGGGGTCATTGGACTAGATAAAGTGCTACTAAAGTTTAGGCCATTTACTGTGTATTGCAATACCTGAGTTTCCATTACAAATATGCGCAAAACTTTGTTGATATTCTTCTAAATTCAAAAATGCTAATTTCCACAATGGCATTATTTATGTTCAATAACAAACGCAATTAAAATTGCACATGAATATGTTTGTTCACACGATTACAGCAGCAAAGGTAAAGGCATGAGAAATATCCACAATTCAGGCTCCAGTGGGCGTCTCCATCCTCTTCGTACTTTCATACTTCTTTGTCGTTTTGCATCCAGCTGCAGATCACGTGACTTATGTGATGCAAAACTTGTTTCCTTCGTAGTTTTGCATAATATAAGAATTTTGATACGAACACCTAATCAACGTGTAAAACTCGATTTGACAAAAGGTCTTGACAATGACAAAAAATAAATAAAAATTAACATACAATTAAAACATATCACATTACAACAAATTTTCCTATATAAATCAATGAGCAATCCTTTAAAACACTGACTAATAATGAGATACTATCTAAATATATAATATTTCTAAAACATAATCTTATAATATATTAACATAAAACTTTGTGTTTATCATATTAATATTTATTTGCAAAATATATCACTTTACATATGTCTCATCCAGTTTGAATTCAGTTTCAATAATTTTTCATCTGATAAAAATGTGTAATCTAACACAAAGTTGATTTTAGAATTTGTTTTGGTCTTTTAAGTGGCGGTGACATGTAAGAGATTATTGTAATATTATCTGTGACTCATCTTTCACGTGATTTTAATGAGATCTAAGGCGTCTCCTATTCATTCTGACAGCAGATGTCTGAACTGTGGTCTGATCCAAGATGGCCGCCCTCTAGACACGTACTGTAGGCCTTTGTTGCCGACAGCATCCAATAACTCGTCTACGAATTTAATATCTATGGTTCTACCCACCCTGATCAGCAATATTATTAGTTAGATAGTGGACATATGATAATCTGGTACAGAAACTTAACTTTTTAGAAATCTATTAAAAGTTGACCGAAACAGAAGTCTTTTATTCAGAACGAAGGGATAACAAAATAGAAACATAATGCCAAATGATGACAACCGTTTGTTTTACCCATTGCTAATCAACAGCAGAGAAAGCTCAATCAATCAAAAGTAGTGACATAAGATGTAATTCCCTATATTAACAACATCTCAGATACCTCATAAAATACAAATAATATCACAGAATAACTGAACATGAACTTTCAAGGATATTCATTCCTCTTCGTTTTTTCTTTTTTTTTTTTGGCTGGACAACATTTTTAATAGGGGTCTATAATGATAGTTTGATTTTTGAATATTTTATACAAAACCACTACATTTATTGGCAAGAACATAGCTGAATGAATTCAGATCATGTTTTTCCCAAGACAAGAATGGCAACCAAGCAGATAACGAAACGGTTTGTAATTCTGCTATCTAAAATACACAGTAAGGCTACGTCCTTAAGGAGCAAAAAAGAAACAGTGCTGACATAAGCAGAAGGCATTATGCTTTGCAATCAAAACAACAGCCAGTGAGTTATATCAACATGTTTTTAATAAGGCTTGTTGTAATTCCTGCATTATCTGCAGCTTACTGCTCTGCTGTTTTGGCACGTTTCCATAGACAGAAGGAACAAACTCCTCAGATGGATGAAGAAGTCTTTCAGCTAATCCTCCATACTGGCTGCGGTTGCTAAAACACGTCGCTGAGGAGCTTCAGATAAACAACAAGGACTTTCCGTACCATGTAGGTATGTTTCCATAACAAATTTAGTTTAACCAGTCCTTTAGAAGAGGTTCTGGAGCTGGGAGCAGTATATTTACTTATGTAGGCATTAATACATCCAGCTAGTGGTGGGCAATAAAAGATTAACAATATTTTTAACATGGTCAGTGAGAATTTTAATCTTAACTGGCGTGCCTTAATCGCGAGTATAGGCTAGAGATGTTCAGATCGATTCAAGTATCAATGATATCAAGACCAATGCTGCTTTTGTTATTGAACAATACTCTTGTAAAATGAGGAATATTTTTCTTTTTTCTCTAGTAAGCGCTGATTGCAGCATATTCCCCAATGTCTCCCTGTCCGTGTAACAGCTCTTTGTTCAGCTTGTTTTGCTTTATGGTATAAATTGCTTTGAAACTTTGTTTTTTTTTTTTATGTTTCATTGTTCAATAGTAATAATAAAGTTAACAAAAAAAAAACAGAAGGTCATCAGTTTTATGACACATCAAGCTTTTATATAAAGTATCAGCATCTGTATCAGTACCAGCAATTCTGACTCTGCATTTACTTGATATGGGATCAATACCAAAATTCCCCATATTCCTTACCCATAGTATACATACACCTAGCTCGGCAAGTTAATTCAGTCATGTTAGTCATATCACTCCGCTGCTGCCGTTACCGTAGCAACAGCAAACCAGCCGTTTCAGATCAGCTGATTTAATAGGTGGAAATGGGGCATGGATTTTGAGATGAATTTGAATATTTGGAAATATGGGAAGAGGAGGTGAGCCAACAAGAAACGGAAATGCAATGTGATTGTGGCATAAGAGGAGTAAACAACTGGAAGCTGTGCATTGCATGGTTTTATTGCACTTAGCGGAACAACACCAATTTGCTGTTTATTGTGGTTTTCTATGCACAGCATCGTGCATTTAAACCGTTGATGGGACATAAACCATGATAAAGTTGTGGACATTGAGGACCAATGTTCATGTTTCATCTTAACATTTTCACTTGAGTAGAGGGTGAAGTTCTGTTACCTCAGAGATGTGATCTGGTTAGGATGTCTCCAGAACGCCCTGGTGAGGTGTTCCGGTCCCACCAGGAGGAGGCACAGGGGGAGACCCAGGACACGCTGGAGAGACTATATCTCTCAGCTGGCCTGGGAATGACTTGGGGTTCCTCCGGAGGAGCTGGGGAGAGGGACGTCTGGGCCTCCCTACTGACTGCTAGCCCCACGACCCGACACAGGATAAGCGGAAGAACATGGATGGATGGATGGATGGATGGATGGATGGATATATTCTAATTTGAAAGACGAACCTCATTGTTGTTGCATTGTTGTATGCATTTTCTAATTCATTCAATATGACTGTAAATAATGTTAACTTTAAAAACAACAATGTCAAGTACAGTCTCAAAAGGTAGCATTTGTTGAAAAGTAGCCAATCACAGGTTATATTTTTTTTTCAGGAGTGTGGAAGGCAAGCCACAAGCGCTCAGGGAAGAAGCATGCTCTCGTGTTCTAACATGAAAAATGTAATAGTGTTCTAATAAAATGTTTTCCTCACACAATAAATAGGTGTAAATAAACATTTCCTTAGTAAAAATTTTAATTCAACCTGTAACTTTAGTAAATACGTTAAAATTTGTTCAAAGTTAAAATGTATTTCCTTAGAAGTCTTTTTATATGCTTCTTTTTAATATCCATTTTAGAGGAATTAATTATTTTATGCAATGTAGTACACAGCTACTTGCCTCTAATTTAAATGATAAACCAGCGCTGCCCATGGTGCTGTGACTGAACCGTAACACCAGCAACATGGATGCGCACATCATGCCCACATTGCTTCTACTGCTGCTATGAAAATTGGAGGTAGACGTGACGTC